CTCCCTTTCTCCTCTCCATCCTTCCTTGCTTCCTTCCTTCCTTCCTCTTTTCCTCCCCCCTTCCTCCATCCTTTCTTTCTCCCCCACCTTTTTTTTTGAGAGGAAGAAATTTTTCACAAGTTTTCCCATTTTTAGGTTATCATTCATCCAGAGAAATTGTGTTTTCTCTCTGAAAATAGCAGGACGTGCTATAAATAAGGATTTCCCAAATATTAAAAACACCTGGGGGAGACACAGCGCCTCTGACTCTCTCTGTAAAGTTCGCCAGGGACTATCTTATTTAAGAAGAGTAGCTTGAAACTGTTTGGAGTGGCATTTAGGTTTCTGTAGATTCTACTTAATTTAGTGTATGTGCTTACTGTTCAATAGCACTTTTTTTTTTTTTAAGCCATGACATTTCTTATCTGGATTGACCACATTTTTAAAATAAAGCATATATTTTTTTCTCTATAATTCACAACATTGGCATATGAGGGAGTGTTTCAAAAAAATAAGTATTTCCAGTTATATCCATTTCTTTATATCTGATGCAGTTAATCTGACAGCCACAGATGAATGGATACATGTGTCAAGGTGTTTGTGTGGGTATTTCTCTGTATGTGTATTTAGGAGGTATGTTTTACTGCTTTTGGGGAAGTATTTCAACTCTAATAAATTAAATCCTCGAAAAAATTATTTCCCTTTATTCTTAGACTTACTAATTCTGAATGTACATTTACCAGAAAAATGTGCTATACATACCACATATGTAAAACACGTATCCAGTTATCAGACATTGAGAAAAGGAACGCAGAAAAGTATAGCAGTGTATATTTCTGAAAGAACACCTAGGAGTAAATAGACAGCAATTTTAAAAATGCATGTTTTACAACCTTAATTAGTATACTAGAGGAACATCTTGTTGAGAAGACTGGAACATGAGGATTAATTTATCAACAGGTCAAAAACAGGCTAAATTCATGGCTCCAAGCCCTGGTTTTGAGATACTGCCCTCTAGTGGAGTAAAAAAAAATGACATTTTCATGTTAATAGATTTAGTTGGGAGGTGGGTGGGGGCGTGGGGGCGGGGAAGCTTCACACCTGATTGTTCCTTAAGTGTTTATTGAAATGACATAGACCAATAGTTTGAAGTTATTATAATCATAATACCAGGAAATTTATAAAGACATTAGCTTTGTTTCTAACCACTAAATATTCCCGCTCTGTAGGTTTGTTTTTTTTAAAGTTCTCAAGTGCTTTATTTTTTCCTTCTCTAAAAATTTATTCAAATGGTTGCTAGTCTTTTGAATAAAAATGAATTCGAGACAAAGGTAGTTTCTTGCTTAACCTACTAACACTCATTTCAGAAAGTGTATTGTAAGGCTTTATTCTTTACTCGGTACTGTGGCATTTACTCTGTAAATGTTGCTCTGTGAATGGTAGGGATTATGGTCAAGTGTTGGGGATGCTGAGATGGAGTGTGTCTACATACAGTTTAGTGTACTTGTAGTAATAGTAATAATCATCCTCAGTACGCTTCCCTCGATTTTACTCTCTCCAGCTTTAATTCCTTATGTATTCCATATCATTTCAACATCTGCAGGATTACATTTCCACATATTGGAAGAATTATGATAAAATTGTGATATTATTTGAGAAAGGAACTTTCGTTTTATACTCTTGGTTCCTTGAGAATTTCATTTTTGTTGATTAGTATTGACTGTATAATTGACAAATTCAGTAATCAAACCAATTATAATGCACTTCCATAATGAAAATAAGTGGTGATAATCAGATACATGATTAAACCACTTTCTTGGTTTATAAATGAAACCAGCAATCATACCTAATATTTTAAATTTCAGTCTCTTTAAGAAATGAAAGAAAAATCCAAGTTTTAATTTAGTGAAAGTTGAATATTTTTAAATGCTACCTTATGCTATATCATAGGAAATTGTTTTCACTCATTGTTTAGCTTTTCTTTGGCATATGGGGATGAGATTGCTTTTTTTGCAATTGTCCTTTTGCTGTAGGCACATGATAAATTCAAAAGATTTCATTTTTATCAGTTTCATATCATGGAACATTAGAAGTGAGATTGTAATGTGAGAGCAAAAAATAACTCTGGCTTTGTATGAAAAGGGTGAAGAGTTTGTTCTTTGGCTGTAGTTTTCTTACTGCAAGAGCATGAGCAGCTTCCCCTAGAATCAGTATATGTTCAGGTGATGGTCAGTTATCAGCCATTTACTGGAAATATGAAAGGCAGCTCTCCAAAAGACATGTTAAAAACTTACTTAGTTATCATATCTATATAATGAAGTGCTATATAAAAACATTAAACCATGACTGAGTAAGGATTTCAGCGATTTTGAATTAGTACAATTGTGAATAGTCATCAGATGAGAACCATGGACTGAGTCCCAAGAGGTCAAGCAACTTGTCTAAGTGCACACAGCTGGTCGGAGAGAGCAAGAATGGACCCCGCCATCTTCCAAGGTTTTCCTACCGTGTCACCCTCTCATCTACCGGATAATTGATAAATCTCCACTTTTTCTTCTTTTCCCATCTCCATTTTTTCCTTTTTTTCTTTTCTTTCTCAAGTTTTTACCTTTACAACCCACTAAAACTTCAGAGCAGTTTCACATTCCAAATATACTGTATCATGTGGATGTGGATGTCAGCTGCCTCGCAGTAAATATCTACAGGGTTTCCTGAAGGAATATTCAGTTCTAATGAAAATGTATTGCAATGATTTTAAAATATAAATGAATAACTACAGCCCTTATGTTGAAAACGTTCTGCCTTCATCATCAAATAAACGATAGGGGCGCAATAAGTATTTATTTGTTGATTTAATGGTTGAAGTTCCTATTAATTTGTGAAGGTTTCTTGTTTCATGGAATCCTGGGCATTGCTTTCCTGTTCACTTTTGTTGGAGGAGTGGTCTGGGTAGAGGGTCAGAGTGCTTTTTCTGGGAACAGACTACCCGGGTTTGAGTGCTTACCTTGCCACTTCCTCACTTTGTGACCCTGAACAAGAACTTAACATCTCTGTATCTGTTTCTTCCTAGGAATGTTACGAGGATTAATGTAGTTAATTGTACAAAAGCTTAGGAAAGTACTTGGGATATGGTAAGCTTGAATGGATGTTTGCATTGCCATTATTGCCATTATTGTCATTGTCACTGTTATCGTTGTAATTACTATCATCATCCGTTCCAGTTCTCTGCTTTGTTTGGAATGCCCCTTCTACCTTCCACTCAGGCCCCTACCTCTACCTGGTCCTAATTAAGTGAGCTCAGTGCAAATGCTACTTGCCTTGTGATGTCTTTTCTGGCCCCCTAACAAGATATGATCTCTCATTAGACCCACAATCACAATCTTCCCCCCCCCACCATTTATCACTTTTAAAATGTGTTACAATTGTTTCTATAATTTGGCCCATTTCCCTTTTTAGTTTATAGAATCTCCTGGAAGAGGTCTATATTTTATTCATCTTTAAGCTCCATAGCTTACATAAACATTGAGAAAACAATGTTTGTTGAATACTGTGTATGTTTTAAAAGTTATTGAATTTCCACAACATAAAATAGATATTTTATCCCCATTTGACAGTGTAGAAACATTGGCTCAGAGAAGTTAGGTTTCTTGCCCAGTGTACCAAAACTGTGAAATAATGGGGTAAAAATTTGAACTCAGTTCTGTCTGCCCACAGAGCCAAGGCTCTTTTACACTACAAGCCACTCAATATTCATTTGTAAAATAAATGAATGCTTGATTGATGACTGAGCCAACCAATTCAATATAGTTAGCAACAAGGGATGCTAAAAATAAAATACTATTTTTAGTATTGAATTATATATGATTATGTATAATATAATCAATATATAATATATTTATATGATATATAATATAATATATATAATAATATATAATTATTATAGAATTGAAAGGAATGAATTTTTACAGTAGGCAGTGGATGCTTTTATAAAGTTATGGTTGTTCAGTGTTAGTGAAAGAATTTGCTGGCTCTATTTGAGAAACAGAGCTCTGAAGAAAGGCAGTGTCTGGTTGGAAAGGGAGTTGGTATGCTCAGAAAGCTAAATAACTATGCATGGGCCCCTGATGAGGAGGGGCTGACATTGTACTGAGATCTTCAGTGACACGGTCCTTTGTAGTCTAATTCTGATAGCACATTAGCTCTTAATTAAGTTAGAACCATGATGTAAGGGGAGTGGCATTGGCTGTTTGTTAGAATGTTGAACAAAAGCATGTTGGATCAGAGAGTTCTCATTTTCTTTTTTTCAAAAGGGTTTTAGAAAGTAGAATTGGAAACAAAAATGATCCCCATTCAACTATGGCTCTTATTTTTTATTATGACTTTCTTCTTATGGTAAAATATATAATGTAACATTAACCATTTTAACAGTTTTTCAGCTCGTAGTTCAGGGGCACAAGTACATTCACATGGTTGTACAACCACAG